GGTGGCTATGACACAATTTTAAAAATTTGAACAGCACAGTAGTGTATAAGCTGAGAAGCAGAGTTTGTTCTCTCTTATCCTCCGTCTTTCTCCAGGAGTAACCATCTTCTCTGGCTTATTTTAGGACTCCCCATAGGTTTTTTCCTCTGCCCAAATATGTGCGCCCATTTCTTGGCCTGTTTACCCGATGACTATCTGCTGACCCCCACTATGAAAGATGAGGAACCTAGATCATCTGTTCCTCCGTCAGTTATTTTTTATTTTAAAAAGTGTTTTTATTGACTTCAGAGAAAGGAAGGGAGAGAGAGATGGCAACATCATTGATGAGAGAGAATCATCAGTCAGCTGCCGCCTGCACGCCCCACCCTGGGGATGGAGCCTGAAACTCAGGTGTGTGCCCTGACCGGGAACTGAGCCTTGACCTCCTCTCCTGGCTCATAGGTCGATGCTCAACACTGAGCCACACTGGTCGGGGGTGTTATTTGTTATTTTTAATCCATCCATCATTTACCTTAAATGGTATACTTTTAAAATATCTATTATTGATTTATCTTTCATATGCATCAGCTTTAGGCAGTGTCTTTTTTTTTAATCCTCAAGGATATATTTTTATTGATTTAGAGAGAAAGAAACATTGGTGTGAGAGGGAAACATCAATCATTTGGTGGCCTCCTGTACGTCCTGACTGGGAAGCGAACCCGAAACCTTTGGTGTATGGGACGACGCTCCAACCAGCTGAGCCGCCTGGCCAGGGCTAGGCAGTGTCTCTTGATGCCTTGCTGTGATGAATGAGGGTGGCTCCCCTTCCCCTCCCAGCTTCCATTCTGTCCCTGGGCTCTGACCTCCCCGCTCTCCCTCACGGTGCCCCTCTGTCCTAGATGAAGGAGGAGCGGTTCCGGCAGCTGTTCGCCGCCTTTGGCACGCTGACGGACTGCAGCCTCAAGTTCACCAAGGATGGCAAGTTCCGCAAGTTCGGCTTCATCGGCTTCAAGTCTGAGGAAGAGGCCCAAAGGGCACTGAACCATTTCAACAAGAGTTTTGTCGACACGTCCCGGATCACAGTGAGTCGGCGGGAATCTTGCCACTGCCTGCCTGTGGAAAACACTCTTTCCCTTCTACCACTGTCCCCTTTCAGGCTGTGATGTCCTCAGCGTCTCACTGCTTCTCAGTCTTTCCTGCCTAGAGATCCCCGGAGAGTTTGTTAAACTGGTTTCCTGGGCCCATTCACGGAGTTTCTCACTCAGTGTGTGGGGGAGGGGGCCCAGGAATGTGCACGTCTAACAAGCTCACAGGTGATGTGATGCTGCGGTCCCCACATGAGAACCACTGGTCTACGTCATTCATTCACAAACTGTTCAGCCAGCACTCGATCGCTTACGTGATGCAGGGGATTTGGAGCGGATGTGGCCCCCTGGCCCGTCCTCATGGAGCCAGCAGCCCATGGGAGACAGGGGGCTGCTTTCAATCACTGTGGTCAGTGCTGAGGAACAAAGGAGGTGCCTTCCTTGCTGGGGGGTGGATGGGGAGTCAGGAAAGCTTCCTGGAGGAGGAGGTCCTACTCTGTCAGTCACGTACATTTAATGACTCGGTAAAGACATCGAGTTCCAGTCGCCATTCTGACCCTCTCTGACCTGGGTGATCTGGGGCAAGTCACTCACTTCCCTGTGCTTCGGTTCCTGGCCTGAGAAGTGGGGGAGTCATGGCTCCTTCCTCGCACTGGGGGAGGCTCAGTGTATTTCTACTTGCAAAACAGCAGACTGCCTGGTAAACGTTCACGCCCACAGTGCTGTGAAGAGAGCAAAGCCAGGCGAGGGGAGCATGCGGAATTTGCTTCAGCCGGCTCAGCTAGGCTGTGGCAGCGGCCTTTTTAAAAGCCCAAGCTCCTGGGTGTGAGTGTGGCGGGGCTGGGGCAGTGGCAGGTCCCCCCTGACCACCCTCCCTCACCCGTGCAGGTGGAGTTCTGCAAGTCGTTTGGGGACCCGACGAAGCCGCGAGCCTGGAGCAAGCATGCCCAGAAACCAAGCCAGACCAAGCAGCCTCCGAAAGACAAGGACTCGGTGCCCCCAGAAACTAAGAAAGTGCGTACACGGTCACTCCTGCCCTCGAACCTGGGGTCAGCATGGTGGTCACCGCTGGGGGCTCGGGCAGGGGAGCAGGGGTGACCTGCGACTCCCTCTCGGATGGTTCCTGCAGGAGGGCCCTCCCAAGACAATTCAGTTTCGTCTCCCCTCGCCCAAGCCCCCCACTTCTCAGGCCAGATGGTCCTCACCATCTGCGCCTTCTGTTTGTAGGACAAGAAGAAGAAAAAGGCAGCGAGTGAGCTGGAGGAGGTGAGTCTGTCCTGGTGCCCAAGAGGGTGGGCGCTGGGAGGGGTCCTGGGAGCGCTGGAGCCGAGTCTGGTTTCTTAGGCTTCTTGTCCGGTGAAGCGTCCACTCCGCCCTCCTAGGGCTGACCCGGCTGGCCCCAGGGGACATGAACTTGGAGGGTGCTCTGACCCGCCGGGAGTCAGGAGGGGTGAGCTGACTGAGTCGTCCTGGCCTGTGTTTCCCTCTTCCCGCCGCGGTGCCACCAGCTGAAGGAAAGCACCGAGTTCCGGGAGTTCCTGTCGGTTCACCAGAGGCGGACACAGGCAGCCACTTGGGCTAACGATGCCCTGGACACGGAGCCCTCGCAAGGGAAGAGCAAGCAGGCCAGTGACTACCTGAACTTCGACTCCGATTCGGGCCAGGAGAGTGAGGAGGGAGCCGGGGAGGACTCGGAAGGTAAAGCATGGACACGCCCCCTCGGGTCCCTGCACGCCTACGGGCCTGTGCTCTCTCGGGCTTGCACAAATGTGGGTCCCTCGGTGCCAGACACTGCCCTCTAGTGGGGTGGCTATCCCAA